CGGTATATGGCGATAAATCTTGAAAATTATCTTCCACGCCGATTATATCGTTATAGGACCGACCACTTGATTCTGGTTCCCGGTTCAGTAAAAATGATCTGACTAGTGGCTATTCTTTTCGGGGAGACACGTATGTTCTCAGAGAGGCCACAGGCTGAAGCATTGAGCGTTGTGGCCCTGACTAGTCGCTGGATCCTATGCAAGTAGCACCAAACTCCCCGTATGGTGAAGATTTTCGTTTTTTTTTAATCCTTATTTCCTTGACATCTGCGTTGTTTTTTGGACATATTCAAATTTGCGGTGACCAGTTGCTTCATAAAGACTTTTCTAGTATACCTACCCACATTCTGTTATCCGCACGACAACGAAACAAAATAACATTTTGGTAACCGCCGTCACCTGCGGCATCGGTGCTTGGCGGCAGTGATTTTATCTTTCGTGGTGAAATACGCGAAAAATATATAATAGCAACAGTTTCGTCAATATTAGCGCGGTTAATCATTTCATTGCATACACAGAGCCATAGGCTCTTATTTCGGTAGGGAACGTTTTTATCCCAATAGCGCTCCGCGGCAATCTTGGTGCGACTGGTATAGAACAACCCTTATCAAGCTTCAAAGATTTTAAAGGAGCGAAATTATGATTGTAATGGCAACAGAGACCGATCAGCTAATCACCTTTAGATGATCATCTGTATGTTGGTATCTGTGTGTGTCCGATTAGGAGGCAGGGAAGGCAAAGGCTCTACATTCATAGTATATAGTGACTTTCAGCCCTGACAAATAGCCAACGACGCTGGCGGCAAACAAGCGGGAGTGGCGCGAGGCCCTATCAGCACAAAAAAAAAACCAAAAAAAACAACAACATTGATTGTGTTTACTGGGTGATGACCTCTAATGATGAACCCCAGTAACTCGGCTGAATCACTGCTTCTATGCATTCTCTGGTGAAACATCCGGCCACAGTGAAGCGGCTGATATGAAGTGTTCGTAGTCAGAAGAAATAACATACCTTAAATGTAAGCTTTTCCTAAAAAAAAAAGAACTAGCATTGGGCAAAAAGTTATTTTGCTTATATTTTTGCTTTTCCGGAAGACAACACCTATAAACGGTCCGCTAGGTTGCTTGTTTCTTTGAAAACGCTACGGTTGTCAAGTGGTTACCTTTATCGTCACCTGAAAGTTTTTTAATAATTTAATTTATCCCCATATTTTTAGAAGTTTGGGGGATCCCATCCTCATGCCCAATGCACTTCAGCAGCCACTATGTGCTCCATTTTTTTTTTCTTTGATGAGGGGGGAGGGGGGGAGAGGGTCCTACACGAAAATTGACGTCTAGATCAAGAAGTGTCGAAAACAAAGTACCCCCCTTACCAATAACAAAACATTACCCCGATTAAACAAAACGTTACCTCGAAAAGTCTCGACAGTATTTAAAATCTAATTGAAAGCTTCCTAATGTCAAAACAGCTTGTCAATTGTTGTATGGGTAAACCATTTATAAGATAAAAATGGTGTACTTTTTATCCGTTCAGTCCCGTTTTTGGCATTGCAGAATCAACTTGCTGTCAGCCCGAAGGCAAGAAAGGCTGGAACCTTCAGTCAGTCATGGCCAAGTCCAGGAATGGGAGTGTCACGAGTTCGGTGGGTTGTGAAAGAATGGTCCTGGAAAAGTCCTCTTGGGCTTGTCTAGGGCCTTCAGGAATGGGCCAGTGACGGCGTTTCTAAACATGCGGGCATCAGGTTTTGGCCAATGAAACATTCTCGAAATGTAGTTTTTAAGGGCGTGTGAACTCGAACTCCAGACACCGAGTGGAAGTTTACAATATGTCCATTAAACAAAATTATATTGCGGCACAAAATAGAGACATACAGAGTAAAGAAAAAAGGGATTGACCGAGAGGATTTAAAGTTGTCCCTGCCTTATTTATTTCTACCACTGTCAACTAAGCCAAATAGTCGCCTCTATTAAGCTTTTGCTGTTAGTAGCGTTCTCTCTCCTGATTTGGTTCACGGCAAACCAAATCAGGCTAGCTGAAACATTTGCTTGTTTTGCGTTTAAAATGATCAAAACATACAGGCGAGACAGCGTTACCTTTAGACATTCGCATATCCGCCTCTTCTTTTTTCTTTCTTGAATGCCAAATTTTATAGTTAGCTTGAGCCCTGAATAGCCTCTCCGAAACTTCTCGCAGTCAAAACATGCGCTCTCATGTTGCGCGTTCAACCGGTTTCCAGCTGTCGTGTCGCGCTCTGTCTCGTCTGTCGTTCAGTTGTTTGCTCTTGGGCCTGCCGTTAAACCCGTCTATTGTATTAGTCTAAGTATTCACAACAATGCACCTACGCCTTTAAAGATAAACAAGGTACAACTAACACGTAGCAGATTCCGCTGGTGAAGGTGGGACCTCATCACGCGTAAGCGCCAATTTTTGCCGCATGTTTGAGACTCATATTTTCGCACGCAGAGCGTCGGTGTTATTAATACGTTCGAAGGTATTTCCTTTCTGCTATGATATGATTATTTCAAGGGAATATACTTTTTTTAGGCAAGAATGAGTGACTTTATCAGACGTCAACTGTTTGTACCGGATTGTAGTTTTCTGTCTAAGGTTTTCTGTCTGTCTAAATATAGCCAGAAGATAACGTGACCCCGTGATCCGGCTGCGACTTTAAAAAAACTAAATCGTTTATTTCCTTATCCAGCGGATTTCTACGACAGCCGATGCATACAAATAACTACTATACTCCTTCCAAGAAAAGAAATGTCAGTAATTTATTATTGTTTTTATTTATTAAGGAATAGCGTTTCGTAAAAGAAACAGACTCCGCCAGGACAAAAAGTTATTTTTTAAAGTCATAGATTGGATACGTATGTTTTAATTATATCGCACGAAATATATCTTCCGGAACATTCACGCCGTTAGACGAAATTTAGTGGGAGGTAGAAGCCCTCCCCAAGCCCCGCCCACAAATCAGTGGTTCCGCCCATTACTGTTGGACTGGCTTCGCTGCTCGACCGGATGGGCTAACAAGCAGAATAACACTTGAGCGAATAGTCGGGCGCCGCGAAACGGCGTTTACGGGTTGGACAAGTGGGTCCACATTTCTGTAACGAGCCGCCGCTGACTGTCGCCGCGAAGCGGCCTAAGCGCAGCGCGGGGGTGCCCCGTTATTCCCTTAAAGGAGGAGGCATTGCCCCCTCAGGAGGCTCCGCCTTATTACAGGCCAGCGACATTAACACGTCTACACTCTAAAAAAAGCCCGCGAGTTTGTTTTTCCCGCACAACACTCGGAGAGCCAATCACCGCAACTTACGGAGGCAGCTCAGCGAATGACACTGCCGAAACATATGTTTAGACCAAAAAACGCAGTCTGAGTTGTGACATTAAGCAATGCAAGCGTGACGTTTTACATTGCTTAATGTCACAACTCAGAGTGCGTTTTTTGGCCTAAACAGATATTTCGGCATTGTCATTCGCTGAGCTGCCTCCGTAAGTTGCGGTGATTGGCTCTCCGAGTGTTGTGCGTGAAAGTAGACGCACAAACTTTCTTTAGAGTGTAGTCTGGAGGTCTAACACCGCCTGCCGGAGCTGCGAGTAGACGAGCGGCATCTTCCGGCATCGTCTGCTATTTCACCGCCGTCTATCGTCGTCTGCAATGCTGTGAGACACGGACACGAAAGCTGCGCGTCGGCGTCCGTTTGCGCCTCCGTCCGTCTGCTGTTCATCCGGCGTCTAAGAAGTATTGCACCACTCAGAAGACGCGGCCGTGAAAGCGGCGTTCTAGCGTTCTATCAAGCACGACCGACAGTCCAGTACAAGCGTCTGTCAGCGTCTGTCCATATGCGTAATAAGCGACCGAAAGAAAAAAATGCAGTTTTTCTAGATTCATTCATTTTGTTCTTTATTTTTTAACATGACATCCGCGAGCAAGGTTCGTGAGCGTCATGACGCTCAATTAAAGCGCGACGTAAAAATATGCGGTTGTGTAGGCCAGGTCAGGGACACTGCAAAACTTAAAAGCTTGCCTTTCGAGGCGCAATGACAAAAACACGCCTACCAAACTTAATGCGAGACGAACTCCCGATCGCCTTCAACCAAATGCCTCGCACATTCTTACCTGTGTAAGTGTAATCTCGGTTTTGAAAGCATGGTCACAATCACGACGGTTGCTCAATTCACAAAGCAGCGGGGCCGCTTTTACGGGAACCAACATGTTTATTCGGCATCACCACGCGCGAAGAAAGAAATCAAGCTATATCGATCAAAATAGTTGACCGAGGGCGCTAGGCTTCGGCCAGTAACGCTACCAGAACAGGCTTCCGCACTGCCTTACAAAAGGCGGGTACTGGCGGCAGTTGTTTTTTTGCCAACTACGTCGGTTGGGGAGACCTTTCTTAAAACATATTTTTGAACTCAAAATTACTCGAACTCATAAGCATTGACTATCTCAAGGAGCTTCGCTCGTTCAGCGCTCAATTAACACCGGCAGCCATGTTTGTTAAAGTCTCAAACTAAAGCCGGAGAACGTTTCGAGCCAAGCGGGCACAAATAAGAAAGATAGTCGGTTACAATACTAATACACAACGGAGATGGAAATTTACAATCAAGCTTTAAGACATCAATCATCTCTCCAACCAATGAGAGATGCAGGCACCTTCTAATCACGGGGCTGATCTTAGCGGGCTGCGACATCTACCTTTGCACCTAAATTGCATCTAACGGCGTAAATATGACGGGGGAAAACAAATCCGTGAAAAAAAATATTAGAAATATTGCGTGTCCCATTTATGCTCTTTACAGAAGTTTTTTCATTGCATAGACCCTTTAAGGCGGCCGTATTATCGGCTATCCAACGCTAATCTTAAGAATACATCATTACAAAGCAGGTGATTGTTCGATAATCATGCCTACTTGGCTCAGTGTTTTGACTCCATTATCTCGCAGACTACGACGGCGGCACCGATTCGAAATGGGATTGTCTATTCTCCTTGCCCCGACCACGAAGTGCCACGCTGCTCTATGTACGCTGACATCAAGAAGCGTCTCCTTAAGTTAGCGAACAAAACTGTAATGGTGGGTATACTCTACGTGAAATCTACGTGCCTAATGCTGATGCCTTTCACTCCGTTCCGTTAAGTTTTAGAGTAAGGAGTGCTGTCTTTACGACGTAGGAGCAGAGAACATGACACTAAAAATTACCCTTTTGTTTTCACTACAAAAACGCGTTTCCTCACAGATTGACGGTGAAAACAACGTCTCGTCTTCCGAGCTCCTCAAAAACTTTGAACGGTACGCCACCCGTTTTCAGTCGCACGGCATCACCAAGGGCGACAGGGTGATCTGCCTCTTGAGCAACGGCCTGGAAAACTTCACGGCGCTCTACAGCCTCGTGTTTTCGGGGGGTGTGGCCGTTCTCGCACATTCAGACACCAAGAACGGTGAGTTGCCGCCGTGAAGCCGGCCGCTAATGCGCGCACAGCGCGAGTTTAGGAGAAGCCCACATGCTTAATACTTTAGGCTGCTTCTGGTTTATGCGTTTAACTGTTGTCGAGAGCGTTGCAACGGATCGTAGCCACTTACGACCGGAAAACACATTGGCACACTAGCGCCATCTGTCGGCTACACCTCGAACTCATCCAATCTGCGTCTAACCAGACGAACGGTTTAGCAGTAATTTCAGAAACAAATATATTTCCTATTTATGAAAAATTGACATATCTAACATTTTTTTAACCATTATGTCAAGCCTATGCTGATTGTATGATTTGCAAAATAAATGAGGAATTATACTCAGATCGGACATTTCAGGGCTACACGATAGGTGGCGCCAGTGTATTCTCAACATCTAAAGTTTAATGAGAATTCACAAAGCACTCGATCGCACACAAAGCGAAATGTGCGAATCAGCCTCATTCCTTATAATAAGTTAACTTTTTTTTATTGCTCAGAAATAACAAGTAGTATCGTTCTTCAGCAACATCGAGATGAGGAAAAGAAAAGCTTCCTAATGAAAAAATAAATAATCAATGTGTCTCTAAACATACAAGATAATACAAGTTTCTATAGAAATATAAAGTTACTCACGATACTTCAAGATAATATTAAAATCGACTACATAATACAAGATTCTCTAAAAAGCACACAGATACGTCAGATTACAATATCGAATCTAATATTACTCAGGAATATTTAGCGTTAACTTAGATCATGTAAAATCATATACTGATTTGCCTCTTTTATAAAGCAATCACTTCAGAATTGGTTCTCAATACAACCGTGAGAAAGAAGCCTCTCCGCGATCTTCTAGTGGAGAGGAGTGAAACTCCCGTAAAAGGAAACGCGAAGGAGAGTAAATCTGTGGCCGAAATGTCTGGTTGGTCTCATTTGAAATCCCACACGCCCTTCCGAGTGGTCATTTGGAATTGCTTCCAAAATATATGTAGTAGCCCCTTTTTCCTAATAAACAAAACCATTCTTCAATCAGTTTGAAAAAAATACATTTTCTCTCACAAAAATTCTCGAGGGGGCCATAAAACAATTTTTCGACTTCTTCCTTCTTAGCTTTCCTTCTCAACTCACATATCAGGCAGCGTTACCAAAACAGTTCAAGAGGAAGGGAAAAAAGAAACTACCCTCTTGCTCGGACCCTCGTTTGTGTACCGGCACGTCGCCCGTCTGCTCGTAGACGATTAGCCCGTCGCTCAAAAATCAGACAAAAGCTGCTTCTTCCTTGCTGACAGTGTCGTGGAAATATATATTTGTTGGGCTAGTCACACTCCTATCTCTTGCCCCGTGATCTCGCTCCCTCGCGCATTCTCACACGCAGATAATGGAGTCGGGTGGTGAGAGGGAGCCGGCTGGTTAATCCGGCAAGCGCTGAGCTGCCACTCCACTGATAGCTTAGAGCTGAAAGGAGTAGCATAGTGACGCAGTGCTCGTGTTCAATGCGTGAGCTGAGGCCGGCAGACGTGCTTTGGGTCCCGCGGATATATATCAGTCGAAAGGCGAAGAGCTTCCCAAAGAAAGGAGGCTCAAAGGAGTGGGCCATGGTTTGAAATTTTCGTACCGAAGAGCAAGCTTTTGACTTTCTACCTTTTTTTTTTTGGCCCGCTGAACGATACTCTATTAGTAAAATCCTAATGCTAATTCATTTATCTAAGCCCAAAATTCATCCATGTCCCCTTTATGTGGAGCAAGGTGGAATGTTACATTGCGGCGGCTTGATTTTTGAACACAGTTTAGTAGTTTCTTACAACCGAAAATACCCCCCCCCAAAAAAAAAATCACAATTAATATCTATAGAAATGTTTAATGTACGGCCTACATTTTAATTTAAATTGTTATTTTCCTGTCGTTCATGAGAGAAATAAAACAAAAAATGCTAAACGTCATACACTTGAGATCTTTTGTGACATATTTAGAGCCCTGTTTCGTAGGATTTATCGCAAATACTGCCTACTAAGTGCTGCAAAGCTGCAGTTCTCGGTATAGGTAACCATAACTGATAACCATAACAGTTTATTTTTTTCTCAAATATTTTATAACTTCTTTTTGATTTCATCAAAAATTTAATTTAATCAAATTTCAAACATCATTCATAAAAAAAATATTTCGTTTTAGGTTTTTTTTTTATTATTTTCAATGAAGTCACCAATCATTTGGAATAATCAGAGTTCCCCCTTTTTTGTTATAGTTTCTGTAGAAGTAACCAAACACATCCACGCGTTCAATCGACAAAGTGGCAGTGTCGTGATTTGGCGTTACTGGAAGGTCTTTAAGGCTCCAAAGGCTGGGGGCAGTGGCCTCAGAATTGTTTTGGAGTTGAAGCGGTAGCGGGAGCTAAAGATGAATGCTTAGAGCAACATGTTGTAAGGTGGTTAGTTAAGCGAGTTTGTGCGCACCATGTTCGAGCAACGTGCTATGCGAACGTGTTGCCATAAGGGAGGTGTCGGAACGTTGGAGGGGCCCCAACCCCTCCGATGTTCTGACGCAACTCACTTCGCGCGCTTAATTTTGCTTTAACGAGAAACAATTTGATGAGTCTATTTTTATATAAGAAAATCATCATGAACGAGCGTCCCAAACGATGGACACCCTGTGAGCGTTACATACTTTAAGATTCTACCAACGTTACTAGAACCCTCAGTTGGGAAACTCACCGGTGAAACCTGGCCCGCTGGCGTCCACCGAGGCCGGAGCTAAATACGATAACAGCGCCACCCTTAATCTTTTTTTTTCACTGTAGTCACCTTGAGCTTTCAGAAAGCACGTTCTTGCGTTAAAACAAACGTAACAAAACTCTTTCTAGCAACTTTTTTTGGATATTAGTACAAAATCACAGGCGCGTGATGTTTTCTAAAATCTTTAGTTTGCAAGGTTTTGCGGCACAATCAATATTTCTTTTTTAAAACAACCATGTCTCACCTGTGATTTTAGGTAGCGCGTCTCCACCTGGGCTAGTCCTAATTTCGAAAGTAATTCGCGGCGCGTCGGCTTGGGAGATGGGGTTTGGCATCCCTGAAACCCCTCCCACCGTATATGTTTCGGCGCCAAAATGGCCGATGAAAGCCAAAACAGAACAGGCACAATGGACGCTATTGTATGCGATACTCCCGAACCAATACAAGTAGCCGTGCTGTTCCGCGAGTGGCCCCTGAAGAAAAAATGGCGGCGTTGCGATAGCCGTTAGCTCGGCTCTCGAGTACGGGTCAGTGGCACTTATTGAGAGCACGCTCAGTGGTAATTTCCAAACTTAGTGGTTCTAGTAACGTTGGGTTATACATAATGTTCAAGCCGCGGCGCGGCTCGAACCTGGGTCGGTGCGGTGGCACATGGATACATAGCTACTGAGCTGCATAAAAGTATCTCTCGAAGGATTGGGTTTCGGCAGAACGTGCCGGCGAGAGCCGTGTTATGTCGTACAATGTGGTCGCTCATCTCATTGATGTCACGCATAGCGCAAAGAGCCACTCAAGAGCCGTGCGGAGCACACGTTTGCTCAGTATCGCCCTCTGTAACATCTGTGGAGCACAGTGAAAAAAAACTACCCCAAACCACACACAGAGTGCGGTTTGTGCTAGTGTCTCGCATGCCTATGGGGCGTGCAAGACACATTCTCACCTTCCTGAATGGTCTTTGTCGCATGATCAAGGGACAATTTCTTTTTTATTCTTACACTTGAATTATGACATTTCGGATGGTGGGCAGATTATTTTTTATCCCAGATTAATGCAAAATGTCACAAAAAAAAATTACACGTTTTTTTTTATTGCGAAAATATACTAGGCATCGCCGAACGCTCATTCTCCGCCGAAAAGTAGCGCTAAAGATCACAACCAGATGCCAAAGTTTCAGCCCGATCTGATACCTTATTCAAAATTCATAAGTGATTTTCTGAGAATTCCAATGGGAAACTGGCGGTCGACGGAGTTTTCGAATACATGGGGATCTGTGGCACCAGAAACCGAAAATGGGCAAAAATCGGCCCCATTTTCCCATTGAAATTTTTAGAAAATCACTTATACCTTTTCAGTCAGGTATCGGATCGAGCTGAAACTTTGGCATCTGGTTGTTAACCTCTCGCGCTACCTTTCGGCGGAGAATGAGCGTTGGGCAATGCGTAGTTCATTTTTGCGGTAAAAAAAAACCTGTGAATTTTTTTTTTGTCACACCCTGTGCATATAAAATTTTTCTATCTCTTGTATTGTCTGTTTTTCTGTTTGTCATGCCTCCCCTCCCCCCTCCACTCCCGGAAGAGTAACGACTGGAACTTAACGATTTTTAAAAACCTGAACACAAATATACAACTCATAGGCCTGTCGTTGTGGCTAGCATTCCAGCACGATGAAAGAAACACATTTAGGTGATGACTCTGACCACTCTTCCCGCGGGGAGCGAGCGACCAGATCGTGTTCGGAGCTAGCCTCGATCCAGGAGTAGTTCCGCGCCGCCGCGGAGGGTGCTGGGTGCGAAGAGCATGAGGTCTCTCCTCGGCGGCCACGGTGTCGGCGGCGTAGCGTGTTCGCCTTTCTCGCGGTGCGGTGGTGGTGTGCGGCCAGTGGATGGCCTCGTGTTTTGCTTTGGTGCTGTGTCGATCACAGGCGCCACCATCGTTCACGAAGGTGAGCCATAACCAGAAGAAGAATAAGGAAGAAAACACAGGTTTGTGGACTCTGGCGACTTGGTGGCGGCGTGGCGACGGTGAGGTAAAACAAGAAGCGGTGAGCGAGGGAGTGGCGGGACCACCACTGGGGGGGGGAGAAATAACCGGAGCGGTAGGTTTGGGAGGGACCCGATATTTGGCACCCTCTATCAGCGTGCGAGTGAAGATCCCGGTGCCCCGAACATAATGCGGTCGCCGCGTCGGACAGAGGTTCATCACCTCAGCGTTACTTCCACCGTGATTCCAGTCACCTGATCCAGTTTTATCAGAAGTCAC